TCGTCTTGTTCAGAAGGCAGCATCAGCCCAAACAGAGCTTGCGCCTTGTGTGGACGCCTTTTATCAAGACGTCCAAACAGGACCCCGAAATGCAGATTTTGTAATGCAGACTCCGATTCTGACGACTGCGAGCAAGGCTTTGCTTGTCCAACCCGTCATTAACACTGTTGACGCTCAGGCCTACGTCTCAACCCCATGCCTCACCCAGCTCATCCAGGTCGACCCTCGTGTGGAGAATGTCGCCATCCAGTGTGAAGTAAGCGTAGTTCTACAGAGCCCTATAAGTAATGCTAATCACAGCACTCAGACTCCACTGGCTGAACTCTCCACCAAAGTCTGCCAGGCCCAGTTGCCCGCTGAAGGTAAGTACTTTACAATGCAGGTGAAACTCGAACCTGCCAAGAGGGAACAGCAAACTGAGGCTCTGCAAATGGAGCCAGAGCGGAAATCAACGAAAGACGTCTTCCTGCAAACAGATTTGAATGTTCGAATCGAGGCGAGTGAGATAGAATTTGTTTACACTCCGGCAGTAATTAGTGTTCAGACAAGTCAGACCCAGACCGGCCAGAAGATGTTTACTATGGGCACGCAAGCTGATTTTTATGATAGTAAACCAGAGCACATTAGCAGCGGCGTACAGGCAACGAAGTTGACCAAAGAGATCGATTCATCATGCAACTTTTCGGTCATTGAGGAGGTACCGGTGAGTTTTGTAAAGAAAATCATCCAGAAGACAGTTTTACCTGAGACTGTTCCAACATCGTCGATCGACCTTCAGACACCAGATCCAGAACGATTTGAGGCATTTTGCCAGAGCACAGTGTACTCGCAAGTGAAAACTTCTGAGGCCCAAACCTCAATTCTTCCACGAAGTGTGGATGCTCAAACAGAACACGTGCCTCCTCTTGATATACCACCAATTGCGGTTAAGGTGAACAAGAAAGTTCAGGCATTCATGGGACCAAAGCTTACCGACACTCAAACCCAGATGGGTCCGATCTGCAGTACTTTTTGGACTCAGACAGTGGATCCGACGCCAATTGAAAAGGACCTTTTGGACTCAGGAATCCAAACAATGCGAATTGAAAAGGTAGGCAAGAAATTGCAGGTGGCAATAGCCTCGCAAGTATCCGACGTTATGGCACAATTGGTTCAGCCGACGTCGACCGTGGTCACATGCAACAAACTACAACAGGCCTCGATCCTTCACGAAGTTGTCGACGTCCAACTTCAATTAGGAATCATTCAAAGCACTGTAGCAGTCCAGGCCGAATCTCTGTCTATTCCTCCACTTAAGGAAACACAGAATAACTTTTCACAAACAGACCCACAACCGGTGCATCGGACACTAGACGATCAGGCTTGCCTATACCTCGAGAGCACAGTGATTACCGTCGAGAAAGAGATTGCTCAGACTGTGATGGCGCCCATAGTCACTACCAGTGAAGCAGTGGCCAGTCAGACTTCGCAGTTCGGAGCGAAAGAAGCATGGTGTCAAGTCGATCGAAGGGAGGCATGGGTGGACGCCAGCCTGGAGCATACCGAACTGCCTCCTCCTAGAGCGAATTTAGGCAGCCAGACCCTGACGAGGGAGACAGTTGAAAAAATGGTACAGGTAAGGCAGACATCAAATGTTACAGACACCCTGGCAGAATCGGTATCGCCCGTAAGTCCGATGACATCCAACTCAGCCATTCAGACTGATCTGATTCAGTTGACTGGAAAGAAGCTGCAGGTGCACCTGATGCCAGACCTTGAAAGCAAAGTCATTCAGACTGATCAAGTACCAAAAAGCCAGGCCGAGGCACGTTGGGTGACAGAGACCCACAACTTATCAATGCAGACTATTGGTGTCGAGACTCAGAGTAAAGAGCTGCAGGCGAGTCTGGCCCCAGTCCATAGCCAGAAAGATATGATGAAAAGGAATGTGGAGACCCAAGCAGAGCTAGCTCTTGCTCAGAAAAGAGCCGATACGGTCGGCAAAAAGCTTCAGGTGAACATCCGCCCTGAAACCTTGGATACGCAGATACAAAGCGGAATCATCACCAAGACGACGGGGACACAGAGCATCGCCGAGCCCAAGGCAGACGCTTCCAGCAGCTTTGTGCTAGTTGAGAAGAAAGTACCACAGCGGATTGAGACGCCGAAAGATAAGTCATCTGCTTCCTGTCAGACGACACAAATAGAGTGCTTCGAGGCATTCTGCCAGGGTGGGGAGCCTGAAACCAGTATACCATTGCCTTATATGATAGGTAAGAAGCTGCAAGTCAATCTGCTGCCCCCAAGCAAAGAGGCACAAGTCCAAACCGGTATCTTGATGCGCAGTGCTGATACACAATGCGATCCTGAGCCAACAGTTCGAGGACAAGTTGAGCATCGAAATAAGAAATTACAAGTGTCCTTGAAACCCGATTCGTTGGCTTCGGAGACACAGCATGAAGTATCACTTGCCAGTGCTATAGTGCAAGTTAGCAGCCAATTAGATACTCGGGGCGTCTCGGTGCAGACCTTAATGATCCCGAAGGGGGTGGATGCCACTTGCGATTATCTCGTCCCAGCGGAAATTCCTATTGTCAAGGCCCAAGAGAAGGTACAACAGGCATTCTCTCTCAGAGCGCCTGGGCAATCAACCACTTCCTGTCAGACCCTGAAGATAGCTCAATTTGATACTGAGTGTCAGCATATATTCATGCCTCAAATGGCGGTACAGGTGGCCAGTCAGACCCAACCTACCGAAACTATTGGCAAAAAACTTCAAGTAAATATTTTACCAGAATTAGTTACAACGGCTATGCAGTCAGAGGTAGTAAAGCTGGCTCAAGTGAAGGAGATTTCTGCCCAGACAGAGTCCATAACCAAACAAGGCAAGAAGATGCAAGCGCAAATACTTCTAACGACCTCAGAAACTCAGACACAGACGGGAATTATCCATCAGAGCATCTTCACACAGTGCGCCTATGAGCCTGTAGAATCGAAGGCCAAAGGCATGCAGATATTAATCAAACCGGTATGTTCCGCGGCTCAGACCCAAGTGGGCGTTTCTTGTCGACACGACTCGACGCAAACTGATTTTCCTCAGGCTATCACGGTAGTCCCCAGGCCGGAGACTCATAACATCCACGTACAAGCGTCTAGGCAGCCTCAGATTGTGGACGACGTTTGCGACTTTGCTCCATTCGAAGAGGAGCCTGTGAAGAGGTCCAGGCAACTGGCTCAGAAGGCTGCACCCTTAGCATCGATAGATGCACCATGTCAAACCCATGAAAGGGAATATGCCGATGCATTCTGTCAGCTCTCTCAAGCTGTGCCAATAAAGATTCCATCTATAGACGCTGAAAGTCAAGTATGGGCCCCTGAACTTTTGGGTAAAAAGATTCAGGTGCAGATTGTCCCAGAGAATAGACAGGAGTTTTCACAGACGGAACAGGAGCATGTGCTCCCAACAGCCATTAAGCTAGCCCAGACTGCTTCGGTTGGACAGCAAACGTTGGCAGTCGCAACGTTTGGAAAAAAGATGCAAGTACAAATCCTATCACCTGGGGTAGAAACCCAGACCCAGACAGGCATTCTGCTCAAAGATATGGCGAGCCAATCAGAACCGAAACGTGAGTCCTCGGTTGGCCGAAAACTGCAAGTAAACATAAAGCCAATCACTGTAGAGACACAGGTGCAACACGGTACGATAATGCATGTGGCCGATGTACAAGCAGCTCTGGCACCAGTCTCCCAAAGCATAGGAGTTCAGGTGGTCCAGACCACAGGTGATGTTGACGCCTCTTGCAGCTTCGTGATACAAGAGGATGTGCCAGTAAGACTAGAGCCTCAGATGACACAGAAGGAAGCAGCTCCAAGAGAAGTCGAGAAGTTAGCAGTTGAATGCCAGACCATAAAGGCAGCCAGTATCGACGCCTCCTGCCTCAACGTCATCAGTGTACCAATTCTGTCCACAGGCACTCAGTCCGTCCATACAGAGCTTTCGCAAAAAGCGACGCAGGTTAAGGTCGAGCCGAGTTTATTAAATGATTTTACACAAACAGAGAGTACCGGAGACATCGCAGCAGTGCATAAGGTACAGGTTGAGAAATTAGGCAAGAAAATGCAGGTAAGAATATCACCGCTATGTGGGGAGGCGCAAACACAAACTGGCATATTATTAAAGGACATAAAGGTGCAGGCTGATCTCATAACAATGGAAACCAAGATGGAAAAGACTGCCGTTCAGAGTCAGACTCAAAAGGCACCCCTAGTAGACGCCTTCTGTCAGATTGTCCAGACGTCCGAGACTGTTAGCTCGGCAATGCAAACAGTAGCCATGGAAATGGTTGGCAAGAAGCTACAGGTAAAAATCAACCCTGAACTGATTGACTCACAAGCCCAAGCTATCGAAGTATTCGTGCCAGTTGAGAAGTCGATAGCCTCAACCCAAACTCTGGAGGCCACAGTAACACCAACGGCCCAACTGCTGAATGCTTCAATGCAGACAATCGAAGTGGCCACATTGGGCAAGAAGCTCCAGGTTTGCATCGAAGAGCCCAAGCTACCACAGTTTACACAGACTGATATCAGCCTTCAGGAGCATTCAGCTGTTCATTATGAGTCGGAGAAATTTGATAAACTTCCCGCTTCCGATCGCGGCGTTCAGGTTCATTTGAGAAATGAGGTTATCGATGCCTCTCTGGATTCACCCCCTCTACCAGAAGTGGAGGTTTCACACACACGCATTTCTGCAGTACCCCTCCCCCTGAAACCTGTTCTTGAAGAGAGCAGTAGTCAGACTTTTGCCATGCAGTTTTATGAGGCCTTCTCCCAGAGCCCAAAGGCCCAGGAGCCTACACCAGTTATCAAACCTTCTCTTGTGGATAGCTCAGTTCTTCATGTTCAGCCAACAGTGAGTCAGTATGAGAAAGGCATCCAAAAGGACACTGAAGTTTCTTCAAAATTCCTCCAGGTAGAATTAGAAGTCAGGAAAGCGGTCAAACCTGTCGAAACGCAAACCATTCCCTCAGAGATTTCAGACGCTCGTTCTCACTTAGTCACAGTCCGACCGGCTCCACCCACGGCTTCCTTAAGCATGCAGACTGAGACATCTCTTTATCATGATGAATTCTGTCAATATTTGATACCAGTCTCAGAGCAACCCGCTCCCCATACCGTGGCGATGGTAAACAAGAAAGTAATGGCCTTGATGCAGCCGTTGGTGAGTGATGTGCAGACCCAGTCGGGCCGTATCCTCACTAGTCGAGCTGTACAGAGTGAGCCCTCTCTTGCGGATGAATCGACTTATGCAAAACGCTCATACCAGGAACCATTTCCATTGGTCAGCATTAATGTGATCACAGCTGATGCCGAGGCCAATTTCCAGGCAGAGCAGCTAGAGAAAATCAACAAGAAGTTACAGGTTCTTATCGAGCCGATTAAACTGGATGTAATGACACAACTAAGTCAGTTGACAGAGAGCCGAGGTATTCAATCTACCAAGCTGCCTTCGATAGAGTCCTTCTGTGAATACATACCACCTGAACCCCTTCAAGCATCCACAATTCCGTCAATGAGACAACAAGCAGCAATTCCTTCAAGCCGCGAGCTTCCATCGAAAATGAGCGAGACGCAGACTATGGATAAACAGCAATATGATGCCTTTTTGCAGTGTAATTTAGCCCCAGTGTCAGTACCATCTGAGAGTAAAGCGTGCTACTTCGGTGGATTTCGACCTTCTCTGCACGACCTTCAGACTCAGGCCAGCATTTTACAGACAAGCAGAGGGGCTCAAACATTACAAATCGAAACGCGAGATGAAGAACATGACATGCGTCATAAGAAGTCTCAGACAAGCTTTTGTATATCTCAGGTCGACACACAAACAATGGTAGGCGTTATCACCAGTTCTATCGGTTCGCAGGCCAGACTTCTTGAAAAGGAGACTCAGTCCAAGCCGGAAATGACTATTAAACCGATTCGAGGAGATACTGAGGAGAAACGGACTCAAACAAGCCCTTTAGCGCCCCAGCGGGATGTTCAGACATACAGCAGGGTACTCACCGAGAGTGTTGGCAGTCAACACGAAACTGACACAGTTATCGTTGGAAGCGCCGTTGACTTTCTTGCTGGAGGTCCTCGTTTCAACAAGCGAGTCCAAACGACTATTACGTCCACCTCTTTGCAAGCTCATACACAGGCTGGTGTAGAAATGTGCAATGCATGGACTCAGTCGGAAGCAAGTGTAGCCATTTGTGATGATGCCGTGGCTCAACCACTTCGTCCGACAGCCATGCGCGATTCTAGCTGCCAGGCTGTAGTCGAATCGGCAATTCGGCTTGGCAAGAAGCTTCAAGTAAATATCAAAGCTCAATCAGTAGAGGCGACCTCGCAGACTATAGAGACAGAAACTACAAAAATGACAATTCAGGACAGCTCGTTTAGTTATTCTAAAGCTTTGCAGACTACTGTGGATCAGCAAGCCCAACACATTGAGGCAGCTCTCGAGCAAGCTATTCAGACGGATATTCGGGATATTGATGATAGCTTCGTCTCTTTTGACGTCCCCACTCCTGTATCAGTGGAAAAAATAGGCAAAAAATTGCAAGTCCGTCCACAAACTGATGAAAAGTCAAGTCAGATAGATGAAATAAGGGAAACACCAGTGACAATTGAGGTTAGCAGACAGGAGGCCCCCATTCCCAGAGATGTCACTGACTCTTTTGTGAACTATCTTCAGCCGATACCCAGCACGATCAAAAGACTGCCACAAGAAATGCAATTTAGTCCAGAAACCTGTGATGTTGGCATTACGACTCGTCATTCTACAGAAGTTGACACATCTCTGGCCTATCAGATCGACAAACTTGGCAAAAAACTGCAAGTCAGCCCAATAGTAGATGAGGCTTCCACGCAAACAGATTCTCATGCTGCAGTAACCCTAGAAGCCCGCGCCGTCCAGGCTTCTGCTGCTTGTCAAGAGGTTGGTTTGCAGTCCAGCCGTCTAGTTCAAATCGAGGCAAGTGTCTCCTGCATAGATGAAGTCATGTCAGTGGATAGGAAGCTACAAGTAAGCCCACAAGTCACATCAGCGTCAACACAAATGACCGAACAGACTGCTTTGATCGCTCAGCTGGCTTCATTAAGCCCAGATACTACATCTGTCGGTGTTGACACTCTTTGGACCCCCATGGAATCAGTTTATGTCCAGGCTGTAGTTGAATCAAAAACAGTGGTGGCAAGCAACTTCTTTTTAGTCGAAAAGGATGTGGAAGTCGTAACACCGCTGAGGGTTCAGCAAGCAATTGCCCCTGTACAGCGAAAGGTCGAGGAAGCTTTTTGTCAGTCCGTGGAGCAGCAGGCCTCTAGAGAGGCACAGACTCCAGCCTCGGTGGCGCAGATAGACGCTCAAGCCCAAGTTAGTCGAATGATGGCTCTCCATGAGGTGCAAACAGAGCCTTTGGCGACTGTTGGCGTCTGTAAGAAACTCCAAGTCTACCCACATACGGCGAGCCAGGCCACGCAAGTCGAGCTGCTCAGGGGCGATCCAACCGACCAGGTAGAGCAAGTAAAGCCAAGAAAAGCCGACAAGTCGAATCAGGCTGAGCAACTTATCAAGACTATCGATATGAATATCCAAGTAGAAGAGACTAGTGTCAAAATGGTACCAAAGACTAGCCAGCATGAAAGCAGCATGCAAACCGAGATGCCGATAATGCTGGGTAAAAAAATGCAGGTTAATATCACAGAACCGGTCACCAACGCCCAACTTGCTCATGAGGCTGATGGACCAGCCAGCAGGCCGATAGCTACTTCAAGAAAGAGGCTGCAGGCTGATTTGGCACCAAGTCAGTCAAGTGTTGAGATACAGACAGGTCAAGTTGTGAATAGTCGTGGCATACAAACTTCTCCTCTACTGACGTCAAGTCAGGCTAAGACAGATGGGATAAAAATTGGCAAAAAATTGCAAGTCAACATTACGCCTGAGAGAAGGGATGCAATTATGCAGGCTGAACCAACCTCCGTGGATCGAGTGGTGGACAAGACATGTGTCTACGTGACCGAAAGCCAGTATCTGGAGGTTGACTCTGATGTTGTGTTGCAACGGGAAGCAAGAGAACAACGAGCAACGCGATCAACACTAGATTTCGAAGCCCAAGACTCAGGTGTTCAGGTTGATCTCAGATACATAAATCTCCAAGAGGCTTTCTGCCAATTCAGCCCAAGACTTGTCGGAGCTGAGGTTCAGGCTAGCGTAGAGACCATTCCGAAAAAGTTCCAGGTAAACTTGCTATCTGAACTACCGGCTTCCAACACCTCAACGTCCCAAACACAGACAGATCCAGCCTCGGGAGTCCGCGTGACAGACGGGGCGACTTCCCCGCCAGTTATTTCATCCTACTCCGAGTATGCATGTGAAACTAGAGGCAAGAAGTTGCAGGTCGGCTCTACCCAGGGCTTATTTAGTTTGGACCATTTTGAGTTGGCTTGTCAAACGGAGCAGTCGGGCGTTGAGCTGGTTACCAGCGAGGCGCAAATGGTCGCTTCAGGGCCGAATGGGATGCTGGTAAATGCAGAGATGCTGACAGAACCACTGCCTTGGCTTCGTTTTGACCCGACAGCCTGGGACCTGGCACCTGTATCTTTACGTCGGGACCCAATGACGGACTCGGCAATTCAGACAATGTCGCGCCATCCGACCACAGATGCTTGTCTTGGCACTGACGATGAGAGTGATGAATGGTGGCTAAGCACTCTTTCACGACACCAGATCGTAGACCAGTTATGTGAGTTTACGGCACCACGTTCCGCACTTGAGTATCAAATGATGATCGAGAGGTCTGACAAGCAAATGCAGGTAGAGACTGAGACTCAGCAGATCATACACCCTTTACAACGCGCTCCAACCTCTCCTGGCTGCACACAAACCGACCCACCTACAGACGTGGCCGTGGCATCTCGTGTGAACAGGAAACTTCAGGTTGGGGTCCCGTGTCTGGAAGAAAAGAAAGAAAATGACTTTCCCACCTATGCTGACAAACTTACACATGCAACTGCCTCCTCTGACTCATATCCTATAATGGAGGAAGTGGGAGTGCAGACGTCTATCATAAAGAGCAAATCACAATTGGTTAACAAGAAAGTGCAAGTCGGAACATCCAAACTTGGCATACCGAGTGAAGCAATATCTGAATTAGATGGTACTACTGGGGCTCATCATGAGCTACCAGCCAACTTCTCTCAGTTCATGATCTCCGTAAAGGACGTATCGACGCAGGAAGAAGAGGCTCTAGGTTTAAGTCCGGAGGTCACGGAAAAAGTCACTGTCGTTCAGTCACACTATGAGCAGACAATTTCTCAGTCAACTAGAGGCTTACAACATCGCCCAGAATTCACGGATAGGCTTGTTCAGACACACAGCCTATCAGGATTTGTCGTCGATTCCCTAGCCAGTTTTGAGACGCCACAAGCAAATCTATACATAATGAGTCCCACAGAAAGCCAAAACGTTCGTCAGGCCAGTGTTCAGACTTCGGAAGATGACGAAATAGCCAGGGTGTCGACGCCCTTCAGGCGTAGTGTTCGCATTCAGAAGGGACCAAGTGCTTTCGATATTGGCATTGTAGACAGTCACTCCACTTCTGTGACTCGACAGGTTCCCACTCAGGAGGCTTCCTTGGACAAAGAACTGACGACACATATCATCATGACAGAAACCCTGGCCTACACACAAAAAGGTACATCTGTTAGCAGTTACACCACCATGGACACTGGAATTAAGGATGACGAGACCATTAGGCCAAAAATGTACGACTCCTATAGTCACTACATAGTTGGTCAGCGTTCTGCTGCAGTCACTGCTTCTACTAGTCAGAGATCCTCACCCCGCAGTTCAACAGGCTTCTCGCCTATTCATTTTCAGCCTTCTAAGGTGGCCAAGTCAGACGCCGTTAGCTGGGGCACCCAGTGCTCACCTGTAATGCTTGCTGGAGTTACCCAGACGCCGCTACGATACGAACAATTAGATGGATGGTCAGGAACTGGCTTCACAGACCGCTCTCTCCTCGGCAGCCCTGAACATTTTCCTGTGCTACGTACCGGCCCAGGACGTCAGGTTCGTCGCAGCCCAGAGGTGGACGAACTGCTGGAGGGCTCCTTCCAGGTTCAGCCGCAGCTCGTCAATGTAGCCTCGCAATATGATCCCAGAGTTTCACCACCCAGTGACTTAGATACCGCTTCTGGGATCCAAGTTGCCACAGGCGTAGGGGAAGATGAGGGGGTGAATGGGGAGGATGAGTATATCTCAATGACACGACGCACTATTACTAGTATTACACGCCTACCAACGCGCGGCACTCGTACCGCCCGTGGAATGATTTCACACAAGACACAAACTAATAACCTGGCTGCTGCCTCGATGCCTTCATTTTTCTCCAACGGAGAAGAGCAAATGCAGCCCATGCGACCATCAGCGCCGCGCAGCTACACTAGCCGTTTACGAGTGCATGTGGCTGGCTCACGAGGAAGATCAGTCGAATCATCACTTAGCAGCAGTGCGGTACATATAAGGGGCTCGAGTTACCCGGCCCGTTACGTTAGTGAGACGGAACTAGTTGTCGAGGCAGCCCCGCCAGGGGGAACAGGTTTATATGGTTACGACAGTGACACAGCCTCTTTGGACTCGGCTTATCAAGTCTTGCTACAAGCCTGGGGGCCTCGGCGTTTATACGCCAGAATCCGGCGATCCATGGCTCAACAATTCGGAGAGGCTGTTAGCTATGACCAAGGCATACAGTGGGCAGGTACCACATCTACCACTTATTCCGATAGTGGAAGATTGTCAGAGGCTAAAACGCAATACGTAGGCAAAACGCCTGGAGAGACATCGGTTGGTCAGTGGGGAGGGCTTGTCAATAGTTCAGTTCAAACAGATACAAATTGGTTGCAGCTCCGTCAGAGCCGACCCCCGCACCGGAACAAAAGAATTCAACGAGGTCACAGCTTTGTGTCCTGGCTCCCTGCATTATCTGGCACTGTACCACGGTGTATGTCTGTCTACACTGCCTATGTAAGTCCTGAGCCTGCCAGTCTAGATCACGTTTATCCGCCAGTACCACCATCTACACCAGGGCCAACATATGCGACTCCCTCACATGTCTACCAATCATACACGCGCACCCACTCACCCTGTACTGTCGAAAAACCGGGCGTTCATCATCACCATCATCACCATCACCACAAAGAGAGTCATTACCAGGAACATTTAGCTCAAAACGTCCAGAGCCAGGCTAATATGACCACAATGACCTTCTCTGAATGCATGCAGAAGAGATCCCGCTATGATAACTCTTGCCCCACCTGTGGTGGTCCTTACTATGGCCCCAGAAGTAGTAGTGAAAGTGCTGTTCTGGGTCGAGATACCATGGCGACACGTCATACTCGAGACTGGCAACTGCCTGTCACGCATATGAAGTCGGATGTCACGCAGACAGCCGGACAAGCTGGAACCCAGATTCCTGTTTATATGAGTGACTTTGAACTCCAATTGCACTCTCCCCAGTTGCGAATTTCTGATGACAGCACTGGCATCTCAATTGTTACATGGCGTTCAGGTTCTGAGCATGGAATGGATGAGGTGTGGATCGACAGTCCAGGCCAACTGGTTGAGCTGAAGATCGAAGCCGTCAAGTCGCCGGAAGGCATGGAGACTCTGAAGGCTCCACAAGCTTTCTATGAAGGCATCCTACAAACTGTGTACTACAACCCATTGGCGCGGAGTCCGGAGGACGTTTACATGAGCCTGAGCAAGGCAATTGCATCCGGACACATTGTATTGGGTAATGAAGCCGGAGCAAGTTCTGAGCCTCGGACTTACATACAGCCGGTATGGCGTACAAGTGACATGAAACGGAGGCGCCACTTAGTGCATGGCTTTGCGCTATCAGGGGAGTCCAGTGACCGACTGCTCTCAGTTAACGAAGCAATCAAAATGGGGGTAATCAGCACTCAAACTGGTGAGGTCGTGCTTCCTCCCTCCACGACTGACGAAAGGATGTCTTCTCAAGCCAGCAGGCTTACAGTACGACAGGCCATCCAGCTCGGCGTTCTACACACGGAGCCTGCCGAGGCCGAGACCTCACTCAACAACCTCGATCCGGAGCATCGATATCGAATCAATCCTTATGGGGACGCCCGATAGTAAAAAAACATTCCAGAGATACAGATGTGAGGTTTGCTTCACTATCCTACATTAATTGCAGCTGATTGAGATCGCCCACAAATTAGCATTACTTTCTTTGTTTCTGACCCTTTCAGTTCTGGGTAGACCTAATATTGGACACATTAGTGTCTTGTCTAACTGTTGTACAAATATATGCCGATGCGCCCCTCTCGGGACGATAAGCTCTATTTATAATTTTTATCTCTCAGCTCTAGTCCATGTTCAAACGAAGCCCTCTAGGGTTGACAAGCAACTGTAAAGAATAATACTGTACCAACTCACACATTACCTCGACCATTTCGTTTGCATACAATTTTGCATCTGAAAAGATCATGAGCTCCATGCCATCGTTCCACACCGTTGAATCTCGTCACTTAAGCAAATTCAAATAGACAAAATCTTATCGGGAAAAAGCAGTTTTGCTGAATATGGTATCATGATTTTCGATCTTTTTAAGTAAAACTTTCTCAATTTTCGTCATTTCCGTATCAGAGCTTTCGTAAAATGCTTTACCTAATTCACAAGTAACCGGCTTCTAAACTGCTAGTCTATAGCAGATGCGAAGTGGATCACAACGCAATAAATAAAACTAGCATTTCAGTTAAGACCTTTCCCTTCCCTTCAGCCCATAGCTCAACCAAGATAGACATTCTTGACTACCTGTTGAGTAAGATTCTTGAATCCATAGTGGCCATACTATGCGTACAGACTAAGAAGGCCGCCGACAGCGTCAAACACTCTTTCAACGTTAGGCAGGCAATTATCTTATGCCTTCCAATTTGCAAAGCTCTTCTCACGAGCGTGACTTGGGGCCGAGAATGCAGAGGTGCGCGGACCGCCAGTCACAATTACTCGGACCGGGTGTATCTATCACACTATGTGCTCCACACACATAGACGGACACATGCACACATGTATAAGCAAGACCACCTTCCCCCACAAACAACGTCCTGGATAAAGAACCCACACATAGCCAAGCTGATGCTGGCGCTTATCTGCTCACTATTTTGAGATCGACTTTTCCCCTAGCTCTTTATGATGAACTGATTTTTTTGCCAACACACACTTATTCCATTCGAAATCTTTATGATTTAATTTCGATTCGCATTATTCACGATTAATAATGAGAAATATTGTCGTACCCTTGACAGAATTCGAACTTTCGTCTTCACCTTTTGTCCCACTTCACTCAACTCAACTCTCTTTGCATTGCTCTCGTATAATTCTTCGTATCCGCATCTTTCTTGGCAGCGTATGTATATTCTTATATGGGTAGTTAAATACATAATATTTTCTAAGCTATTAAAATTGTGTAACAACGCAAAAAATAAATCATTTTGAAAATTCTTTATTTTTTGCTACGTTCAAAGGCACTCTGAATTGAATAGATATGGAATAGAAGACTAAGTGGCATCAATGGGAGATAGACATGGCATATCCTCTATTAAGTGTAGTACTGCTGATTCGCGACAACAACAACAACAACAACAGTGTTATAAAAGCTGTTTGTAAAGCTGCGAACTATAAAATAAATAAAATAATTTGTCTACTAATCAGCCTTAAGTTACTTTTGATCCCAAAAGTGTAATTTTATCTAGGCTATGCTGCGGTTTTAGCTTCGCCCAGCTTCCATTTTCAACAATATATGATTAAAATTCAGCTCGCATATTAATTCCTAGAGGAGCAACATTTTGCTCGATCCTAGAGTAAATGAGCTATGGGGCATAGATGAATCTGGAGTCGGAGTGGGTCGCTGTCATCCGGGGATAAAATTGATAGCAAATGTGTATTTTTATGACCAATGGATAATATTATTTAGTGGCGATGGCTTTTGATATCGACCGTTCCGCTAAAATTGCCCGTTGGCCACTTATTTTTCTAGAACTGATTAATTGTATTAGGGAAACCTAACTTTTTTCCTTTATCTTTCTTGCATATTCTTGAATAAAGCCAATTAGGTCTCGCCATATTTTCACATCAACTTGGATGGGATTGACAGCCACTTCTAGAGGTAGTTCATCGTTTGTTATAAATTCGATACGTCTGCAGCATTAAAATTGTTTCAATTTTTGCTAGGCGTGTCCTTTATTGAGTTTAGCCTCGCATACTCAAACTAGTACTAGTTATAAAAATAGGGATTACCATTGCAGACTTGCGTCGCTCATACTGATTGAGACAAGATTACTCGCATCGGAGGCGGCAGCATCAAAAAGCTAGTGAAGCTTCTTCAGATGACTGGATTTGTTAAACTAAAATGAAATTCATTTGGCCTCTAAGGGCATTAGTAGTCTTGGTTCTATTGCTCATGCTGGATTGTGACTTTACCATTTTTCCCTAATGCTATCAGTTTACTACACAATCAAAAATCAATCCGCCTTCCTTATCTTAATCTACAGCTCCTTCGCCAATAGTCGCTGTTCCGTGTTTTCTTGCTGCATTATATGACTGGGTGATCTCATAAAGCCTTCACAGCATTGGTACAGATGGGGTTTGGAAACGTCTAATTTCAGCCATCATTTTGCATCGTCGAGTGCAACGAACATCTTTCCGATGTGGCCGCATTGGTGAAAGTTCGAGTTTGAGGCTGACTCTTCTTACGTATATTAGAGCCATCCTGAGAAAATAATTTTTACAACGCGGCTCAGCAGCAAATGGAAAAGTATATATTGTGGCTAATCGCTAAATTTATTTACCTCTTTCGCAAAATAGGAATATAAAATATGAAAAAAATTTTTTTTATAAAGAAACGTGCAAGGCTTTAGCTTGTGCAAATCAAACTTGCTTCACTCAATATTGGAAAACTTTCAACTGAGTCGAAGTGGAAGAATTTCCGGAAGACAACTGCCACTGACCAAAAATGGTTATTGCCTAACAGTGATAAGATGCAACAAATATTTTAATGATACTTCTCAAGTTGACGAGGTACACTACTTAGATGCAAGTACCTTCCAACATTGCGTGGTAGCAGGCTGAAATCATGGTTACGAAATGAGGGCCTCTCTAAAAATTTTACTTTAGGAGATACATCTAAAGCCAGTTACTCTCCGTATCAACAATGTGCAAATGGTTCTACTATTTTTCAATTGTCTTCTCTGCCCCTTTAACCAATAAAACTATGGCCAGCAAGTTAAAAGAAGTTGAAGATATGAAGACCAAGATAGTGTGGCCTCTAGCATGGCCGCAATCACCTTCGATTTATAGAAGTAGGTTGACCTCGTTATCGCAACTTGATT